GATTACCTGAAAACAATGCAGCCTTCCTCCCCGTCAGTGTTTGCCGCCAGTCGCCGGGCTCTGGTGAGTAATCACCGGCCATGATCCTGCGCACAGGGGCTGCCTTGTAGCAGTATATTTACAGGTTATCAATGTTACTTTGTATCTCTCTATCTCCCGTCTGATCGATGTTTATAAACAATGTTACTTTGTATCTCTCCATCTCCCGCCTGATCAATGTTTATAAACAATGTTACTTTGTATCTCTCCATCTCCCGTCTGATCGATGTTTATAAAATGTTACTTTGTAATGTTACTTTGTATCTCTCCATCTCCCGTCTGATCGATGTTTATAAACAATGTTACTTTGTATCTCTCCATACTCGTCTGATCGTGTTTATAAACAATCTCTCGTCTGATCGATGTTTATAAACAATGTTTATTTGTATCTCTCCATCTCCCGTCTGATCGATGTTTATAAACAATGTTACTTTGTATCTCTCCATCTCCCGTCTGATCGATGTTTATAAACAATGTTACTTTGTATCTCTATCTCCTCCCGTCTGATCGATGTTTATAAACAATGTTTATTTGTATCTCTCTATCTCCCGTCTGACCGATGTTTATAAACAATGTTACTTTGTATCTCTCTATCTTCCTTAGCCCCTGTTTGAAAAGCAAGAGAGATGAGAGAAGACTGCAACCAGGCACAGTGCTGGGTCCCTGACAGGCTCAGGTAAGTGTTTTGTGGGGAAATAAATAGTTAGTGGGTTTTTTTGTAACTTTAATGCCTTCCCTTGCCTTTACTCGTTGGCGTTGACAATCCACAAACAGGTGGCCTCTTGGTGGCTGGGCGTTGACCTGCACACACATGTGCAGAGAGCACACGTCCTATGCGATCCTGGCACATTTACCGACGCCTCAGAGAAAGGTTCAGATTGCTACTTGGGAGCTTTCTGATCATGTGACTGCTGTGGCAGCCAATCGTGGAAGTCACATGACCCTAAACCCCACCTCCCAGTGTCATAAACCCCCTAAAGGGCCGAGAGGCATCGCAGCCAAGGGTTCAAGGTGAAAAAACATTAAAAAAAAACTGCCTTTAGGACGACTTCAATGTCATGAATGAATATACCTACGATGAGCCTGCAAAGCCTATGTCAGCTGTGGGATGCACTGATATCCTCGGCGTGCCACACTCTGACTTATACAGGATGTCAAACATTAAGGCGAACAAGGGGTTACTGACTGAGACAAGAGTATGTCCAGGTGTCAAGGTCCTACCTTTCTTCAGAGCTTGTGCATCTCCATGAGCTGGCATCCATCTTGGTTTTCTGCAAAGCATGGTGGGAACCTTTATGCCTTCAGGCTTCTGCGGCTCCTCCTCAGAAGGGTGTGGTTGAGCACATTTAAGCCTGCTCTCTGCAAGTGTGCTCTGCACTTGTGTCCTGTATGTTGCCCTGTTGCAAGCTCTTGTGTTGTTCCCATTGCTCTCCTGGTAACCGACTCGGCTTGGACAAGACTACTCTCTGTGTTAACCCTTTACCTGACCTCCCGTTGCTGAACCCGGCCTGTGACCTGAGTATTCTTTGCCTACCGTCTAGTACTGTCTGCTCCGTTGTTATTGACCCGACTTGTCTGACTACTCTACTCGTGTTCCCATCTAGCTCCCACCAGCTGTACGCCATTGGCGGCAGTCGTTATCGCAGCTGGGGTCACTCGGGGGCCGCGACCTGGTCTCAGGCTGCGTCAAGTCCATCCCCACCATCAGGGGCCCTGGTGAAGGGTAGCCTGGGGCTTAGACTCCGCGCCCTGAGGGGCTCTGGTCTGTGGGTAGTGGCTGTCGTCAGTCGCAGCGTGACCGTACCATAGGCCTGCCTGCCCATTCCAGCGTTCCTGCCCTGACACCAGGATGATGACGTTGAGCTTTGTAAAGCTAATTGCACCCTTAAAACCACTAATACCCACCCTCATTTTTATCTACTCCACTGACCTGCCAAAATGGTCCAATTTTGCTTGAATCTTATCATTTCCTCAAAATGTAAAAGAAATTAAACCCCCAATTGTAATCCCCCCTAGAACCAAGGAAGGGCCCAGGCTGTTGAGAGTTTTTTTTTTGTCTGCCATTATAGCTACAATCATGAATCCTTACACAACCTCCTGCACAAGGCAGCTAGTTTGCATGCCACTGATGAGTATTCAAAGGCCTCCATGGTAGAGCAATCTGATAGATCTTCTCCTACAGTTTAGACACAGGGAAATAATCTTTTTTTTTTCATTTTCCATCTCAGCCCAGGACAGAGAATCATTTGAACATTTGAACTAGATCAGAGCAGCTGTGTCTCCTGCCACCCTGATGGGTATCGATACGAATAGCCCGGTGACGGCAGCTTGCCTTTCTCTGGTCATACTGGAGGCAGTTACTGGGATATTGATGAATCTCTTCATGCTAATTGTAATTTTACAAAAAGGTCGTAGAGAGAAAAGCATTCGCCTTGGAGATAAAATCCACACTGCGATCATCATGTCCAACATCTTCCTGACACTGGTCCTCGTTTCCTCATTGTTTGGGCTCATCTTCTGGTTTGAAGTGTATCACGTTATAATGATTGTATTTAATATATTAGCCTTGTACAGCATCAGTTCCAGCTTGTATCTCACCGCCGTCTTCAGCTTCTTCCTGTTCATAAAGATAGTTCAGTTCAAGTCCGGCATTCTTGGCTTGGTGAAGAGGAAGGTCGCTCTTGTCATCCCTCAGTTGGTGGTGATCGTTGAGGTCTTCTCTTTCTGTTGCAGCTTCCTGAGTCTTTTGTTCATTGACTTCAATGGAGAAGTTCACACCAACAACTCTGCAGTCTCAACTGACAATGTTATTATAGGAGGAAGTCTGAATGGACAGATCTTGGATCTGATCTTGGCTTTAATTTTGAAGCCGTATTTCATTATGGCCATGACCACCATCTCGGCAGCTGGCTTCCTCATGCTTCACAGTTATAAAATGAAGAAGACCGGCACAGTCAATGATGGGGCATATGCAAAGACTGTCTGTAGAATGATGATGTTCTTCACCTTCCACACACTTTTCTCTTTTGCTTTATGTTTTGTATATTCTCCAATGTTTGATTCTGACAGTCACTGGTTTTGGATGGTAGTTATATTTTTGCACTTACTATCTCCAGCTCACTCTCTCTACACTATTTACAGCAAACCCAAACTGAGGAACACCTGGAAGATGGTGATTGGTTGTATCTTCTGTTGTAAGTCCTTTGTCCAAGCGGAAGGCACATAGAAAGTCTATTTATAAAGCAGTTGATGTGTGTCCACGTCAGCGTGCAGCCTTGTGTGTTCACTCTTACCTCCTTGCTGCTCTTCATTCCTTCACATGTGTGTTTGTCTGTGCTCACCTGTGGGCATCATCTGCTATTCCCCGGGTTTTATGTCCTTCCCTTCCATCACTTCCTGTCCCACCTCCTTGTCTGCCTGTCTATTTAAGACGTGCTCAGACTGGGCCACATTGCCTGAGCAACTTCGTGTTGTTGGAGCTCCAGTGTGGTTCCACTGTGTAGCCTGTTTTGTCTACCTGTGTACCGACCCCGGCTTCGTTCCTGACCTTGCTTGTTTTCCGCCTGTCCTGACCTCGGCTAGCCCAATGGATTCCCTGTGTCTTCTCCCTTGCACCCTGCTCCCGCTAGCGGTCTCCTCCACCTCAGCTGGGTGTACCTGGGGGCCGCAACCTGGTCCCAGCTTGCTGCAAGTCCATCCCCACCATCAGGGGCCCATGATCCCCTATTGCCCGGGGGCCCCATGAGTTGTCAGTCCGCCCCTGTTACTGATTGAACCTTCTGTGAATTTGAATTCAGTACCCCTGCTGTAGATAGCTATGGGATGCCTCAAAAAGCGGCTATCCTTTATACCCCCACTATAGGAGGTGTGGTTTGTCCACCATTGAAAGGGGTATTTTTACCCCTTCTACATCCATGTAATGGCCGGGTTATAATGGAGTCATGTCTATTCTATCATTGTATTCCCAGAGGACCCAAGACTAGGTACCCAGGGCCCAGACCTCTCCCTCTAGGTACCACAAGGGATACACTGCGCTGCGACTATAGGATCACGATGGAGGATATGTGCAGACATGCAGAAAACGATGCATGTCAGACCTGGTGGGCATTAGTGAGTGGTTGAAGCCCTGGGTGGGTACAGAGTATATGGACCAGTACAAGGAAGACATCTTCAAGTTTGATTTCACCAAACATTCTCTAGAGGAGAATCAATAACCCGGAGGATACATCTGCAGTGAATGTTCGGGGAATTTCTCTGTAAATATGCTACAATGGTAGATGGAAAACCCTAAGTGGTGAAATGACTTTGCTCTGTGTATCATCAGCATTTTTTTTTTCTTAGAAAAACGTTTTTATTACATTTCTAATTGTTTAATACAACACAACTTTGAGGAATGCATTCCCTGATGTATAACATGCCACATGGAAACCTGATCACATACTACATTTCACTAAGGGTTGTCCCATCACCTATCCTTTCTGAAATGCTACCAACTAGCAGGGGTGGCTAACCTGTGGCTCTCCAGCTGTTGTGGAACTACATTTCCCATGAGGCATTGCAAAGATGGGAAGTTACTGACTTGCAGAGGCATGATGGAACTTGTAGTCCTGCAGCAGCTGGAGAGCCGCAGGTTGGCCACCCCTGAACTAGAGTGACGCAAATGTAAAACACAGCAACACACTTACACAGAAGAGAAAAATTTTAATTTTAAAAAACATCAGGAAAAAGGGGGGGGGGGGGGGAATGTAAGAGCTTGTTTTTTAGTATTTTTTGCATTTGTATTTTCTTTTTTTTTAAATTAAAAACAGTTTGTAGCAAATTCCTTTTTTTTTTTGTGTGAGATGCTTACGTTTGATAAAAAAGCTTTATTCTTAAATATTTTAATATTATTAATATTATTTGATACATTTCATTTTTGGAAAATTGGTGCAGTGAAGCACATCTGCTGACTTACCAGAATC